GGGTGTGGGTGTGGGTGTGGGTGTGGGTGTGGGTGTGGGTGTGGGTGTGGGTGTGGGTGTGGGTGTGGGTGTGGGTGTGGGTGTGGGTGTGGGTGTGGGTGTGGGTGTGGGTGTGGGTGTGGGTGTGGGTGTGGGTGTGGGGTGGGTGTGGGTGTGGGTGTGGGTGTGGGTGTGGGTGTGGGTGTGGGTGTGGGTGTGGGTGTGGGTGTGGGTGTGGGTGTGGGTGTGGGTGTGTGGGTGGTGCGGGTGGTTTCCTCCCCGCCCGTGGCACCCGTCCTACTCTACGTTTGGAACACCTGAGTATACGCTGGGACTTGATTCACTGCTACGCGCGCAGAACCCAACCAGGACAAGAACACAAATTCATTGCAGAATTGGATCTTGCAAGACTTTGGGGCTGCATCATGATCCAGCCAGTAGGCGTGCAGCCTGCGCATGCGCACACCAGTCCAGGCCGATCCACCCTGGAAGCAACAAAGTCCTGGCACTGGCAACGCTCCCATCACAGTGGTGAAGCAAGAACTGCGCACAGATACAGGCGCACAAACACGAACACAAAAAAGATACAGAGAGAGACGGAGATACGCAAGTTATATCTACCTGTCTGTAAAGGCCCCCAACATCAGGACAGAAGTGGCGGGCTCCTGATTCATCACTTTAGGTCTTGTGTTGAAAACACTCCTGGCTGTGAGGTTTAGGGTGCCAAGAAAGTATGAGATTGCGAATATATTTCTCTTCAGTCGCCCTTGTGGTTCCCAGGGAAGGCTACGGGCCATGTGTATGTATGTCCACGTGGAGTGTAGTGTAAAGATGCAGATAGCAATCCAGAGTGGACGTTATTACGCTTTGTTTTCTGTAGCGGAAGTTCTTTGAGCCTCGCCATAGGGGAAAACAGCAGCTGCACGAGCTTTGTTTGTATGGAGATGTCCCTCCCAGGTAACAGTTTGGCTTGTGGGGGTTGTTTTAGGGTTCAGGGTTTGGGTTCGGTCCAGGGCTCTTTGGGGTTTGGCGACGCTTGGGGCAGGCTTTAGGGTTTGGGGTTGCGGGTCTATTCACATCCAAGACCATTCCACGACTAGACAGGAGCCTTCCGACATTGCAGAGGCAAGTTAGCATGGATAATCTAATCCCAGACCCCTCCAAAAATTGGATAGCAGCCCAGCGACATCGAAGAGGCTGTTTACTTTGGTGGGAAGATGGGGGATTTTTGGCACTCGCAGTGGGTGGACGCGGGTTTGGTGGTTGGGAGTGTTCACCACCAAGATGAACACTGAAAAGCGCCTAGAAGCAATTAGGAACAAGGAACTGCAGGAGGAGCTCGTAGAGCGTGACGCCGGCCGACCAGACGTCGCTGGCGGTCATCGGTACCTCCTGGGCTGCATACCACTTCGAAGGCGGCGAGCGGCATGGTATTGCGAAGAGGTGAAGATACTAAGCAAATGACATCTCGGGACTCAGTTTCAAAGCTTCGGGGGATGCTGCTGTGACTGAGGCTCCAGCATCACGGAGCCTTTCCGGCGAAGAGTACCGGTTCAGACTGCCCTCGGCTTGCTGAAGAGACTGCTGACGGCTCCGGATGCAAAAGGTGGAGTGCTGAGGAAAGTGCAAGAGAGACCATGCCCTCGGATTGGAACCGAGCTTCCCCGAAATCTGCCAGTCGCAGCCTCGTGGTGGAGCAGCAATGATGCAAACTTGTCGTTGTATTTCTTAGTTTTTTATTTTATGTATGTATGTATATACATATACATATATATATATATGGGTGAGAGGACACATGCATACTTCTTCAGGATCCAATTTTTGTATCTCGGAGGGCCGCTTGTGAATCCCGAGAGGCTCCGGAGAACATTGATTGCCTACGCGCCAGGCTTTTGTCGGTTACTGCCGGCCCTAAGTTTTCGAAAGAGCGCGGCTCTCCTGGTGACCTACCCAGTGGCTCCCAGCATCGCATGACAACATGAGCTGAGTTCGGAACCATGCCACCGGCGACAAAGACACACCTCGCCAATCTGAGCACACTTCGAATTCAATGCTTTGAGTGTGTGCCTGCGTTGTTGAGAAGCTTGCTCGTTGAGGTGGAGTCGCACATCCGTCAGGTATTCCAAGCTTGTCATTGCGCAAATTTGTGCAGGATCTCTCGGCGAAGCTTCAGGCTCAGAAGGCAACGTAATTCGACAATGCCTACACTCCTCTGATTTCGCTCACGGCCGCACCATTCAACCAGCGCATGCTAGCCAAATCTAGCCCTTGCCCTCGCGAAGACAGTCTGTGCAAGTCCTAGTTGTCTGAAACCCTGCCTTACGACCATGTGATTGGGGACCTCGGCAGCGGCTGGCCCTCCAGAAGAGGTGACCTCAATGAGAAACAGCGGCCCTTCGAGCCCTCTGATCCGCTCTTTGCGATGCCACGCAGGGTTTAGGGTTTAGGGTCCAGGGTTTAGGGTTTAGGGTTTGCAAAAACACGAACGGTCAGGCAGAAAGAGGTTGTCCCTCCCACCCTCTCACCCGCGAACAAAGCTTCAGTAGCTGGCTCACCCCATGGCCTTCACATAAATTCTGAGCCTGGCAGTCCTGATCTAGGGCTTTGGTAGTCGCTATCGCGGATAAGGGACCCGAAACTCAAACCAAGAAGCTCCAAACATCTAAACCCACAAACCCTACATTCTAAACTAAGAAAATCCGCACGAAGGCGATTGTCAGAGGCGGTTGTCAGATCCCAATACATTGCTAGATCCAGATAAAACGCTAAACATACAGCAAGAGCCTTACTACAAGGACCCCGAAACAAGGTAGCCCTAATTTCACGAAACCCTGATGGCAGCTCTTGGTAGACTGCGGCGGTCCCAAACGTCCACGACACTGGCAGTGAAGAAAGCCGCCTCTCCAGACTTCAAAGCTTTTAAAGCGCACGAAGTTGGATTTGAAGGTTAGGGCGTCAAACCCTGTAGAGTTGTGGAGCTTGGGTTCACGGTTGCCACATTTTGCGGATAAAGCTTCGCGGGGCTGCTGGGCTTCAAAGCCACCTGTCGTCACTGAACACGAGTAGTCCTGCTCGTTGAGATTTGGGGTGGGACTTGGCCTCCAGAGTGCAGAGTTTCTAGCAGGATATGCGGATTCGGGATGTCCCATCACAGCCAGTTCTTTTGTGCTTACTAATTCTAGGTTCCTTCTGGTGATCTCCCAGCGAGATCGGATCTGCAAGATCTCCAGTGGTAGCTGCGGGCAACAGGTTGCACAAGCATCCCTAAAACTCTTCACCTCGAATGCGAAAATCCCCAAACCCAACCTCAAGAATCCCAGAACGCTACACTGCACCGCTTCTTGGACTCCTCACACTAAGCAGTGCACGTCTCAAGCCCCTGTTGTTGTTCTTGCTGTTAAATGTAGTGTTAAACGATGTCTGTGCCGTATCTGACACTGGGGACTGGTGCCGACATCTGTCGGGCCCTGAGCAGACATTGGTTCGACTGAAGAATGAAAGGCACAGCAAAAAACCTGCCCCCAGGCTGCTTTTTATTATCTGAGCGGCGTGCCCGGTGCCACAGTTCGGCTGGGGCTGGGTGAAACATCAGTCACACAGGCGCAAGCAACACGCCCTCAGAGCTATGGCCTTGCCTAGATGTGTGGTGTAGGCAAACTCGGCCAGCGACGAGCAAGAAAGATTAGGAGGTATACATGCTCCATGAATTATATGCAGCTCAAATTCTTGAAACCGTCACACCTAGCTTATCGAACTTTACCCGGGACGCCCTACATGCGGATCACTCGGCACTCACGCCCAAGGAGTAGTGGCAGCTGCCTGCCGAAAAATGCTTTGAGTCCGTATCTGCATCGGTCAAACTGTCTTCCTTGGGGAGTCCCTGACAGTCTATGTGGGTGTTTGCTGGCAAGACAACGTAACTCGATGTTTGGACCAGGACTGACGATGCTTCTTGATTTGGGGCAGAAGCCAACAACCATGATATCTCATTGCTGGGTCGCGCAAGAAGAAGGATGGACGTCAGGCTTGGCAGCTTCAAACCAGAAGGACCTAAGTTACTTTAGATCAGAAAAAACAAACTCGCATGAAATTCACCGATTGAAATCGGGTTTCGCGCATTTCTACTTGTATTGAAGTCTTGATGTTGCTTCTGATGTTCCAGCTGAGCATGGCAAGTCGCAGCCATGCCTGTCCATTAGTATCAAGCACGACTTCAATCGTCGAGCTCATGGCTTTGAGCTCGCTCTTCCAAGTGGTTCCAGATTGAATGCAAGGGGGCAACGGAGTCAACCGTGCAAAAAAAAAAGGTGTTTGCATGAGACACTCGTGCACAGGTGCTGGAAGCTTCGAGTGAACAGTGGAGTAAATAGGCGTGTAAAGTTTATGCTGGTTCAATGTCGTTCTGCGCCAGCTATAGTGTTGTCCAGCGAGCCCACGAAAAGCCGAAAGGCTGAAATTACTCGGCGAGACGGTTGAGCATCACGAGGTAGAACCATGACTGGAGGCTAGAAGGTTTCTTCTCCCCGTGCCAGACATGCGTCAGAAAGCCTGTAACGCTAAAAACAAGTCAGGTGGCCAATGCCTAGCCTAGCGCTTGAGCAACAGGCGTGCCTGGGCATAGCAGCTGGATCTCGGCGAGGTTTGTGCCTGGGACATGGGAAGCACTGACCAGTTCTTAGAATCAGGCCCCGTGGGATTCGACGAGTTCTTGAATTTGAGGGTTTGCGCCTTGAGTTTCTCTCTCTGTTTAGGGTATGATTTTCTTTCCGGTTGTTTCCATCGATAAGCCGCTCAGGCATGTCACGAGAACGAACCATTTGGCGGCATCGCAACCAATGCACGAATTATCAGGGCTCGGGATTAGGTACTGGTCGCTAGCCCTTGGTGTTTCCGGCATGATGTACACACAGCCTGGCCAAGTGGCTGGCGTGAGCGAGCCAAGTCCCCGGCTCAATCATGGGTACAGGAATACCCTGAACTTCCATCTGCCAGCACATGCACGTGCACAGGACATCGGACAGAGCTGATGGCTGCTGGTGCCAGGTTTAACCCATGCACATCAAATTCGGATGCTACGGCTGCGATGCTGTCCAGCTTCTGGCCTGTCGCAACAAAGCGGCGAGCCGAGCATCTTGCTCCATATTCCTTGCAATGTCAACGTCGCTCAGGACCGGATGCCTTCCAGCACGGTGCATGGGCAGGCCTTAGAACAATTCGCTCTCCGTTGCCCTGGGACCCTCACCCTAGAACCCCGAATCAGCGAGTCACCTTAACTCCGACAACCGTTTCAAGATGATAGCTCAGCCGAAGCATTTTACACGACACTGCTGGCTTAACACCCTGATGCAAATCTTTGTGCCTTGCATGCACATACACAAACGTGATGGGATGTTTGTGTGTGTGTGTGTGTGTTGCTTATTGGTGCGCTAAAACACCTTCCTCCATGGAGAGTGTGGGCATTGCAGCAGAAAGTTTCTGATCTTCTCTTGATACCCGACATGTTTCTTGTCTAGAGTCTAGAGCATAACGGTGCAGGTATGCAACTTTTGGATGTGAGATTTGCGTTTTACTAATGAGTGCATAGCAACTGACAGTTGCTTACATTCCGGGTGCTGTTGCATGCAGGGTGCCTGCATGTAATGGATGCGATGCTTGTTTTTGCTGAGGCATCACAGCATTTCCAGACGTGTTGAGAATGTGCCATGTTTGTGCCTCTCTGATTCGGGCATTGTCACAGAAAGTCATTTTGCTGTGTGGCATGCGTGTGTATCCGCAGTTGTGTGCTCTACATGCTGGGGACATTGAATTATATACTGTTGCAGTGTATAGTGGTCCTCCTTGTGGCGGCTACAGGCGCTTGTGCAATGTGCTGCTTGCTGTCTTGCTGTTCGTTCATCGGCAACCCGTACATGTGTCCTCATACGCATGTAAAACGAAAATCATGCTTTGCTCAGCGGGGTATTGCAGCCCTAAGCAGTTCAGCTGCTGGATGTATTCATGACCATGCACTGCCAGATCTCTGGTTTGCTACTTGGGACGTTTTAACCTGCAGTCTTGTTGGAGGTGATGGTTGTTTTGTTCATCGCGCTGTTGCCGATATTGCTGGTGTCTTAAAGGTTCCGAACTTTCAGCTTGAAGTTCATCCCAATACCAAAACCTGTACACTTCATGTTGTCGTTGATCCGGATGACAGGCGGTGCTCTGGAATCGTGTAAATGAAGCTCAAAAATGGCCAGACAAAAGTGCCTAAGGTTCGGATGAATTCTGTTACAAGCCAGGCGAACATGAAGAAGCCTTCTTCAAAACAACATCAGGGTGCCCCCATTCTTCCGAACTGAGAGAAACCATCAGACCCCTGAAAGCCCTTCAGAAATGCCCACAGCAGCAAGCTTGGCCAGCGCCTGGCGCCCGGCCTAGCTGCGCTCGTCCGTTAAACCCTCCAACCTGGAAGGCCATGTAACGTTCTCCGGGCGCACGGGGGCCTGCCACCTTGGCTCAGCGCCCGAGACGGAGGCTTAATGACCACACCAGGAGGAAGTAAGCCGCCGGCTCCGGCTCGAAGATGTTGCCCATGGTAGCAGTTGAGGCGGCTTCGATTGAGGCAAAACAGCTTGCAGGCTCAACAAGCCGGGAATCCGATGACCACGGGCATCAGGCATGCATGCATGCAAGCATGCATGCATGTGTGTACGTACGAGCTCAGGTATCTAAGTTATCCAAGTATGCATGTATGCATGTATATGTGCATGTGTGTATGTTTGTTTGCATGTATCCATACATGTGCATGCCAGAAACATTCGCCATCGTTTTCTGTATGAGTCTGTGAATGGACAACCACTCAGATGAAGTCCCAAATAAGAACAACTGCCCGCATCGAATTTGTCACTCACCATGGATTAGTTAATGTAATTGACACTGCCAGTGCTGTGAACATGTACCTGCGGTGCTCCCGAATACCGCCTGCATCTTCTTGGGTACGAATGAAATTCAATGATCCCGCGAAGTCGACCCCTCCTCCCTGCCCACCTCGAAACGTTCGGCACCATGAACTCAGAAACTCATCCTGTCAGAATTCCAGTTGTGGGGCCTGTCGAACCTGCCCTCACTCCGACTTTGCAGATGCAGTTACATCAAAGATTCCAGCTAACACCCGTTCGACACAAGATGTTTGGCTTTTTTGCGTGGCCTACCCCATGCATCTTCTGGATCATCCATCGCAGCTCTTCAATGAAGCTCGGCCTTCAGCCTTGTGAGCTGCTTGTGACCGACACCAGGTGCGATTTCAGGACACCCGCACCAAGGAACGTCCCTGCCCCGCACTGGACACATGGCACAATGAGCATGTAACAATCTCAGCTGAAGGCCGTGACATCATACAACCATTGAATCGAAGAGATGTGCAGGCAATACAGATATAGCAAGCCTAGCATGCCAGCAGCAACCGGTCCCGTACAAAAACGAACACCAACATGTCATCATAACCATCATCACCATCACCTGGCTTGGTAACGCAATCGTGTCCCCAAACCTCTTCGTTGGTAAGTTGCTCACAGCAAAAAGCCTGGGGTGGTGTCGCAAAACCTCTTCGTCGGTAGGTTGCTCACAGCCACAAGCCTGGGTTGGTAACGCAATCGTGTCCCCAAACCTCTTCGTTGGTAAGTTGCTCACAGCCACAAGCCTGGCTTGGTAACTCAATCGTGTCCCCAAACCTCTTCGTTGGTAACTTGCTCACAGCCACAAGCCTGGCTTGGTAACGCAATCGTGTCCCCAAACCTCTTCGTCGGTAAGTTGCTCACAGCCACAAGCCTGGGTTGGTAACGCAATCGTGTCCCCAAACCTCTTCGTTGGTAAGTTGCTCACAGCCACAAGCCTGGGTTGGTAACGCAATCGTGTCCCCAAACCTCTTCGTTGGTAAGTTGCTCACAGCCACAAGCCTGGCTTGGTAACGCAATCGTGTCCCCAAACCCCTTCGTTGGTAAGTTGCTCACAGCCACAAGCCTGGGTTGGTACCGCAATCGTGTCCCCAAACCCCTTCGTTGGTAAGTTGCTCACAGCCACAAGCCTGGCTTGGTAACGCAATCGTGTCTCCAAACCTCTTTGTTGGTAAGTTGCTCACAGCCACAAGCCTGGCTTGGTAACGCAATCGTGTCCGCAAAGCTCTTCTCTGGTAAGTTGCTCACAGCCACAAGCCTGGCTTGGCAACGCAATCGTGTCCACAAAGCTCTTCGCTGGTAAGTTGCTCACAGCCACAAGCCTGGGTTGGTAACGCAATCGTGTCCCCAAACCTCTTCGTTGGTAAGTTGCTCACAGCCACAAGCCTGGCTTGGTAACGCAATCGTGGGTCGTTGACCCAGACCCCCGATCTCGGAGCGAGAGGGGGGGTCTGGAACGACATGAAGAGCCCTGTGTTGTGGACGAAATGGAAAGCAGCGGAACTATGGCCTAACGAGGGTTGATATCACCCAGACCCCCCGATCTCGGAGCGAGAAGGGGGGTCTGGAACGACATGAAGAGCCCTGCGTTGTGGACGAAATGGAAAGAAGCGGAGCTACGGCCTAACGAGGGTCGTTGACCCAGACCCCCGATCTCGGAGCGAGAAGGGGGGTCTGGAACGACATGAAGAGCCCTGCGTTGTGGACGAAATGGAAAAAAGCGGAGCTACGGCCTAACGAGGGTCGTTGACCCAGACCGGCCGGGCACGGATTGGCAAGGAGGAATGTCGGCGTGGAAGCGGGAGAAAAGTAACTTAAGGAGCGGGGCACTGTCACCCCGACGCAGCTGTCGAACCAAGGCGTGGGTGCTCATCGGGCTAAAAACCAAGCCCTCAGTGCCACCCCGGGGGTCCACACACCTTATGGGAGGGGAAGCGACAGAAGGCAGCGTCGGGCCCCGGGGCAGCGAGAGAAAGACAAGAACAGAAAACGGGAATGCAGTCCGAATGCACTGCAGGCACTCGCGCGAGAAAACTCGACGCAGTGATGCGCAGACAACTTCGGTAGGCACACATGACATGCCACATGCAGTATGGAGCCTGCGTTGCTTGGCCGCAGACAGCAGACACAAGGCACTCTCGGATCCCACAACGGGTGTTCGCTCCGCGCGAAAATGTGGGTACTGCAGCACCAAGCTCGTGTGACAGGAGCTTTTTGGCACGCAGAGGCTCTCTAGCCAGGGCATCGCGGTCTGGATTGCTTTTTGCTCTTCAAAAGGCATTTCTTGTATGTGGACCGACGGAAAATGGAGTGTTCAGTGGAGAACTGGCCGTCAGAGGCAATGGCTCACAGCACTGTTGGCTTGTGAAATTCTTGAAAGCCCTTGAAACCGGCTGAAATCACAAGGTTGACGTGCAAGTACGTTGGCTAAGCGCAACAGCGCCAAATGTTACTCAGGGCATGTCCCAGCTGAGACGAGCATGGAACCCAGTCCTGGTGTTCTACCGTATGGCTTTTGCAGTTAAAGCCAGCGCAGCATCACGAAATGCTCGAAAATGGCATTGCGCGAGAGACAGCGCAGGCCTGATGCCACCGAACTCCCAAGCTGCAGCTCGTGTTCAGCCACTGCCATGTTCAGGATTGTGAAGCCTGCGGATCTAGCCCACCACCCAACTGCATCAACGGCGGCCAAGCACACAAGGAATGCACAACCTTGCTTTTCAGCATACTCCATGGCACATGCTAGAGTAGCAACTCCCCCGCCAGACTGATGTAAGCTTCCGATGCCGTCAATGAAAAGGCCGCCTTGCCAGAGATGACACGTTGCGCCGGCGACGAGCTTGAAGGCCCCGAAAGCGAGGGGACTCTCTGAAACAGAGTCCTGATACTCCTCGTGGGACATGGCATCGTCGCCATACCCCCCACCAAGTCGAGACAACACGAGGGCATGTAGAGCCGGTAGCAACGGGTCAGAAGGCCCAAGGGAGGCAACCAGCATGGGCGAAGCCCTGTATGCTTTGATACGTTTGGCTGGGCACTGGGCCAGGTCTGTGGGGGCCTCAGGGAGAGCTGGAAGCATGCTGACTTGGGCACCAGCCTTCAAACGGGGTGCTGGTCGACACGAGAGGCCATGGCTCATCTTGCTCTGCCTCCCCAAGATCGCGGCCGCAACGAGGAAGCTCATCAGGCCAGCTTCCCAAACAGTCTTCCGAGTCTCTTGGCAAAGGGTTGTGGTGCAATGTCCCTGGCTGGCCGAGCCCCGGAGGCTGTTCTGAAGGCGCTTGCTCTGAGCCCCTTCGCAGTTGTCTGAACGTAGACCAACCCAGCACTCGTAGGCCTCTGGGGCGTGCTCTCGCAAGATGTCCGCAGCTCGGAGCCACATCAAAGTTGACTCATCTTCGTCTGCCCAACTGATCGTAGTTCCGGCCGGTAGGGTCTCAGCCATCATAAAGGCCTCCGCACTTTCAAAGTCGTCAAAAAAGATGATGTCATTGGACTCCACATCTTCAATGGGGATTAACCAGACGAGAGCTGTCATCAGCATCAAGGTCACTTTTCCCAAGCGCTGCCTGAAAGAAGCCATGCTCGGCAGTCTCTTTGATTGACCTCTGATCTTCGCTGGAATCGAACAGAAGGCTTGCGAGACACAAAATGAAGCTGCGTAGGCGAGGCGCCGAGTGACAAGTTATGTGTGTGATTGGCTTTATGCACGCATGCAGCAGGTGCAGACCTAGAATGTGCCCACAGGCCTGCAATCCGGCAATCATGCTGCCGTCACCACAAGTTGAATGCGAGGCTGGGTCCTGTCAGACTACATGGGCTTTAAGCTTCTTCGCCAGAACTGTCACCGAGTGTGAGGGCTTCAGGTTTTGGCGAGGACTGTGGCACAACTGGGCTGCTAGCGACAGAACTTCTGCCGAAAACTGCAACACAACAGATGATCTTAGCGGTGTGTTGATTTATGTGGCTTTTCCTGCCAGCATAAGGCTTCACCGTCCTGTCCCGGCTTCCTTCGGGCTGGCCAAAATATGCAAATCCAAACCAACTGCCTGCAGCACTTACAAGGCCTGTTCCAAAGTCCTGAATAACCTGTGCTTCCGCTGAAGCAACTGGGGCTCAGACGCGCAACAAGACCTTGTGCCCGAAACCATACTGGAATGTGAGCCCTGGCCCTCCATGCCCCAAGCGATGCATCACCCAACGCAACAAAAACAAGAGAGACAATGCACATAGGAACGCACGCGCACACACGCACACTCTCACACACACACACACACACACATGCACACACACACACACAAAAAAAAAAAAAAAACACACACAAATAAACACAGACAAACACACCGAGACAGACGGAGACACGCTCCTCGACTCTCTAGACGAGCACAGTACTCTCAAACCCTACCCTCGCCACGCACACAAGGCCCAGGCAAAGAAGTGCGAAAGAGTAGCGATGACAGTAAATCTGCGGAGGATGGTGGTCACAAGACGATGATGCCGGTGATGCTGCTGAGTCTTGGCGAACTGAAGTCGGTGGTGAGTGCTGATGTTGATTCTGCTGACGGCCCGAAGATATGGTCGTGCTGACACTCACTCAGGTGCTGATGGCAATACATCATTTTTCCTGCTCGGGATGCGGGATTTGGGCCTTTGGCGGTGTGGTTCTTTTGGGCGACAGAGATTGGAGGCTCACTGAGGTCGACGGCTCTTCTTTCTACCTCTGTCTCTCTCGCTCTCCCTCCCTCCCTCCCTCCCTCCCTCCCTCTCTCTCTCTCTCTCTCTCTCTCTCTCTCTCGCTCTTTCTTTTGTTTGTGTTCGCTGTAAGATCTGCCGCATGGTGGGGTGGTCCTAAACCCTAAGCTGTCAGGACCAGGCCAGCTCCTCAAGAGCCGCGCACGACACGGAGGAACGGAAACTGGAACCTGCAGCAGGTTGGTGGCCACAAATCCGACAGACAAGCCTTACATCCTCACGAGGCTGGTAGCTTGTGGTTCAGTTAGGCGGAGGTATGTGAACCTTCGGGGAACACTCCAAAGACGAAAGCCTACCAGAATTCTTAATCCTGAATCATGAAGCTGAGGTACAAAATCACGCCCAAACCGAAAGACGCCAGGTCGCCGATATACCGAAACACATAAACTGCAACCCATCACGCAAATTGAAGCAAGAAGAACGAGTCCTAGCTCGGGGTCCTCGGCGAGGTAGGAAACGCTTAGAGCTTCGAGGACTTCGCCCAGTTACTGGAGCTTTTGTCAAGCATGAGCCAATAGAAATCTTTGAAGGAAGCACTTACTGATAATGGACAACTATATAAGTCATGGAGCCGTAATCTACAATACTCCAAAAGCCTTCCACTTGGGTTTGAGCAGTGGGTGCTGGTGCTTCCGGAAGGCACTCTAAATTCCTCCATTGCCCTTCGGGATTGCACACCCTCGTGGTGAACCTGCGACATTTGCTGCTGCACATCTTGTCAATAACAAACATGAGACTATATATAACCTGATCTGTATAATCCTGCACCTCGAATCCTGAAACCCAAGCTCTCGACACGCCGAAGCCTGTCTGGACATCCCAAGTGTCCGTAGTCATGGCCTGGGGGAATTGGTGCTATCGATTCGGGGCTTATTGAAGCCAAAGGTGTACGTCCCAAGAGGCTCCGGAATTGTCGTGCTACTACACGGAAGCTCCTTTACACCCGTAAACCCCTCTCAAACCTATCAAACCTCAGTTTGCCAGGGCTTCGGCCGTCTGGCTGCAATTCAATGCTTGCTGCCCGGGGTTCCTTATGGGGCTTCAGGGTTCAGCTTGAGGTTTAGGAGCATGTGCAGGAAAACTTTCTAGGAGAAGCAACGGTGAGCAGTCAAAAAGCCAAAATGAAAAGCAGCATGTCTGATTCTGCGCACGTTGCCGCTACCGCTTTCTCAGGCTTGCGGGTTTTGTGGAAGTTGATCTTGCAGAACCTCTTAAATACCTGGCTTTGCCGAGAGGATGTCCGGCTGTTGCGTCGCATCCTTTGACAGCACAACACCGCAGAGCTGCTGGAGCTGCTGTTGGCAGATGTGTCTGTGAAACATACAATGTCCGACACGCGCACACACACACACACACGTGTGCCTATGCTTCAAACCACACAGAACACACTTGCAGTGGAACATGCTGGAAGCGCGAGACAGTTTCCTGGACATGCTTGCGCGAGGCTATGTCGAGAGTGTACTCCTTACCGGTGTTGGCATGCTGGGCAGGTGCCGGATTATTGATGCTTCAGGTCTGGCATGTCTCACCCCTGCACCCTGAGTCTGCAGACCCATCACGAAGCCTGTAAGCTCAACCAGTGATTAGAAATCAAGCCTACCGTATCTCGCAGGACTCCTACACGGCTAAGCTCTGCACCCGAAGCTTGTGACCAAACTGCACGACAGACAGCCAAGCGCTTTGGGAAGGCGCCCTTGTCCACCAGGACAAGAGATGCAGAAGAGCTTGGCAGACGAGTGCTACAGTTGGAGCTGTGATTACTCGAAACTGTGTGGGAGACCCAGAATATGCGCTCACCGATATTCTGCAGAAGCCCTACAGATACCTCCATGAACCCTCATACAATCCCGGCTTCATACGGCGGTGTATTTCTGCTTGATGAAAAATGTCCGATGCAATGCTGAGGCAAGCGCTTCAAAGTGACTGCTGACATCATCTTAGAGTTGCTTTCTGCTATCCTAACACCGGCGTTTAGCAACCTTTAGGAGGTTATTGTTTTCGGCAGGACCCGATTGCGTGCACGGGCACGAGCAATAGACATGTTGTATGCCCTTGTAACTTGTAGAATAGCAGCGAATGTGACTGTATGAAGCAAGACGAATTGAACTAGTTGCCTTCGAAAGAACGACATCCCGAATCCGAAGCTCGAGCAGCTGACAGTACGAGGCAGAGCAGTGAGGATAGCAGCACTCGATTGCTCATCCTTCAAAGGCGTGTGTGGCATATCAATATGATAGACTTGATAAGAGCACCACACACGCAGACATACACACACACACACACACACCCACCAGCATGTGCAGAGCATCGCACAGGCACAGGATACACCAATAACACACATAATGCTAAACAACGCCTCCTTCAAGTCTAGTCTCGGCTCTTTTCCACGCTACTGGCCGTCAGTATGCATACCAGGCCTGGCACCCAGAAGTCGGGAGGTTCAGAAAGCAAGGGATCCCCATGTAAATGTGAAGCTTGTTGCAAGGACGGCAACACCAGGATACAAGAGGAATGGCCTACTTTCAAGAAACCCTGAGTTTTGCATCCTATCATGGGCCAGCTGAACTCCTTAGGGCGAGGCTGCATCCCTAACGCAATCTGTGGCAGCACAGGCACGGACGAAGGCGGCTTCTCCTGCAAGCTTCCAGAAATCTGCGGAGCGTATTTGGGTGTCCCTATGATAAGGATCGACTGCTTCAGCCGTAACTTTAGCCACCGAGGCAAACCCCAAAACTTTCGGTGGCCAGAAGCTTGTGGGGCTGGTGCCGCTTCGTGCACCCGCGAAGCAGGATAAAGCTATAAGCCGCACCTAGTTTCAAAAGGGAGCCTGAATAGGGTTTTTGTCTAGGGCCTGTTGCCACAAGCTATACCCCTGGTGTCTCTTGAATTTCATTCAGAATATTCTGAAGCTGTGTATAAGCCATCTGATCCCTTCTGCCAGTGAGCAGCTGCATTCCTGCACCTCGAATACACGACCTGAAACCCGGTCGAGCGGCAAAGTCTCGGACCTGAAACAACCCGAATACCGCGAGCAAGAACTGAAAAGAACACTTTAATCACTAGTATCGATATTCGTAATTAAGCACAAAACGGCCACCATTGTCTTGTACCACCATCTACGCAGTAATTCCTAAACCCTAAACACTCAACCCTCAACGGTATCGACCAAGAACATAGCGGACTCGGGCGGTGGACATGTTCCCGCTACCCCTGCTGGGATACCTGCCGCACTGCTGTTGAAAGTTACGCAGGCTTCCTAACATAGCAGTCCGTCACCCCTTTGCCTAGAGCAGCTTGGCCGTGTACAACACAAGAGTCCTTCAAACGTCTAATTGTTGGGGCCAGTGGCCAGCAGCAACTGCAAGAAATTGCCTGGATCTACCCGAATCTACCCATGACGAGATATACTGCAGGAAAGCCCTAACCACCTACACCCTGAACCCCAAACTCTGTACACTGTGAGCAAATGAACTGCCCACCTGCGCAGCCACTGGTCACAGCGGGCCTGGAACGCTCGACAACGCTGGAACATCTCGGAACGAACGCACGTAGCGGCGATTTGAGTGTATGGGAATTTGCAAGACTGCCGGGGTCTAGAGCAGCGATATGCCAAAAGATCTCAACAGTCAGAACCAGAAGCAGATTTTGTGAGATGTTACAGTAGAAACATACTCAGCCCGACAACTTCAGGAATAATATCTGCAAGGGTTTAGGCCTCTACACTACATAGCCACTCTCATCCCACAGTCCCTCCAAACTCGCCGAACCACACAAGAAAACAAAAACAGCTGCAAATAGTAGATTGGAAGGAGTTGTGCACTACCTCAACCCTGAAGTAGGTCGGCACACTTGGATTCCTACAACCGAAACCCCAGTTTTCTTTGCAAAGCTCGAGGCCTCTAAACTTGCGGGCCTTCGGGCTGAAAGCTTGAACTGCTTTGAAGCTGTGTGCAAGTTGCAGCACAGGCGAAGAAAGATCCTGAAGTGTATTCGTCGCTGTGCTCTGCTCGTGGGCGCAGCGATAACCCATAAAACATACAATGGCTACCCGTTTCCGGACCGCTATTCAGCTATTTACAGCCAAAACACAAACTGCGATTGAATGTTGGGACATAACATACGAAATGTCAGTCAGCTTTTGGTTTCAACTGGAATGCCCACTATATGTTTACGCAACGCACTAGTTCTGCATCATAGGAGTACGTCAGAAAGTGTATCACATGTGCACGTTCCTTCACTGCTTTACCTCAAACGGTGGCAGTCCTCGCCTCCTGGAAGGGATCTCAGGCATGCGGGCAACACAACTTCCGAAACTGCTCCAGTAGAATGTTGAGAGCGCCAACACGATGGTGCCATGGCTCGTGTAAGCATGGAGCTGCATCACATCCAGTCATGTCCATCCCTGGAAATTTTGCTTATTGCCTTGGTTGCTCATGTCGGGAGGGGCTCACTGGCGCCTGGAACCAATAGCAACCTCACGGATGTACTGCGACAGGGGGTTTCAGTAGTTCTGTCGAGCAGCGGCTCTGCCCCAGCATCAAGTTCATGTGGAATGCATGCATACGTGCATACAAGCACATAGTTATATGTGCGCAGATATAAGTGGTCAGGATACACACACACACACATGTATGTATATATATATATGTATATATATATATATATATACACATATGTACGCATGTAGATTCTAAACAGGAACCATATGTCTACACGTGGACAGACAAACAGATAGGCACCAATACATTCATACATAAACGCATATATATATATATATATATGCATATTTATTTATATATATATATATGTATGTATGTATATATATATATATATATGCACATATATATGTACACACATATGTGCATAGACACAAATAAATGTGCATAGACACAAATAGACACAAATGTGTACAAACATACATACACTTAAATACATACATACACAAATACATCCAGGCAAACGTGCATACATGGATACATACATAAGTTTATAGATGCATGCATACATACATGCAGACATGCATGCATGCATACAATAAATTCGTGCGCACATACAAATATTGAAACACATGCTTCGACATCGGTGTGTAGGCAACCATGCCTGAGGCATAAAGCCGCAAGCTCGCAGAAGTACATATACACACAAACATATAGAAATATGTAGGTATATATGTATACGTATTTCTCAAAAATGCCACACATACAAAGACGCATGTAAATACACTGCTTACATACACCTGTGCAATGATGAATGTATACATACATACACACATAACAATACGGACATACATAGATACATACGCACAGTACATACGCACATACGCACACACCTACCTACGAAAGTACCTACATACATATACGTGTACATAAGTACATACATGCATACACAGACACACACACACACGTACATACATACCTACGTAATCCTACGTACATGCAGACATGCCGGCACACATACATACACACACTTAGGGAGTAGGGTTTAATACTTAGGGCTTTCGGGCTTCGGGCTTAGGGTTTAGGGCGTAAGGGCTCAGCACCGGTTCGCAGCAAGCCGAGACTCTTTTCGAACTGAAACTATGGAGTGCACGGAATCTGCTGACACGTGGAAAATCTCATTGCAAGGACACTTGCATGGCCTCAGTCCTTGTCAATTTTTTGAAACATGTCATGCGACCTCACGGGTCTGACCGCTGAACTCATCACGATGCACTTCCTGGACTTCTGGCTCCATTGACAGGATGTGCGTTCCGCATCAAGGAAGAAAGCTGTTGCGGCATCAGAGCTTGACTGCACGTGTCCGCTCCCTCGTGATAGGGCAATGAGCTGAAGAAGGTC